CCACAAGTGTAAAAACCAAGCAACATAATAAGAAAAATAGTATCAAAATCTGATCCCATGGGCTGGCCAAAAAGCTGGTACGAAAATTGAATGGAAAAGAAAAGAAAAGAAAAAAAAATTAAAAGGAATTGTTGCTAAACTTGTGGACTTGGACCTTTTTACCCTACACATTTGGACTTGGACTTGGACTATCTTTGGACCTATTTGAGACCAAAATCTTGGCTGAACTTGGACAAATACCTTGGCTGGACTTGGGAGGATGGACATGAAATTATAAAGACAAGAAATACTAAACACTTAATTCTACTCTAGAACCATTCTAGGATTTCCTTTGAGTGCTTTCCTTTTTAAATGTGCCTTAATTTTTGCTTGTCTTTCTTGGAATTCTTTGTGTTTTGTCTCATCAATATTCCCTTTGAGTTTAGCCTTTCTAATTGAGCATTTTTAGTTTTCATTTCCTTGGCCTCCTTCTTGCTCTTGGTTGGTTTACTTGGTGTAGATAAAGTACACTACAATTTTCCCTTACAACTTTTGGGAGATTGAGTGGGAGGAGTTGTTCGTGTAGCCCAAAGTACTTTGGAAGGATTACTAAAAGTATTGGAGTGTAGACACCTTGGGAGAGGACTAACCAAGTTTGCTCATTGTGAAGGAACCACCATTGGAGGCTTGAAGACTTTAATTTCTTGTTTTCTCTTTTGTGCCTTTTTCTTTCCCTTTCTTGTTGTTTTTGTTGGGCCACTTGTGTATTGGTCCTTATTCATTTGTTGGGTTGTAATTGGCCTTTTAACTAATTAATTTTTGTAATAATTTCGTTTAGTACTTGTGGAAGTGTCTTGAATACCCCCAAGGTCACTTCAAGCTTCCACCCTAGGGCCTCCGACTAGCCTATGTTTTATTGCTTTCATTTACTCTTTGTTATTGTTAGTATGCATGCTTTAGGTTCTCTTGTGCGTTTAGAAGGCTCTAAATTTGCCTACTAAGGGTCCGTGCACACACTCACACTTTTGTGACAAATTTGATTTTTGTGAGAAAAGTGAAAAGGGGCTTAGTGATTTCTACTTGAAAAGGCTTGGTTTTTAAGAGACCCCTAGTGGTCCACCTCCCTTGATAGTTCACTTTGTACACTTAGGCCTCCTATCACTATTCTTGCCCTCAAAATTCTTTTGTGAAAACCGTTTATCACTCACTCTTTGTGAAAACATTTCCAAGAACTTCTTTGTGAAAACCTTTATTGATCAAAGATGAGTGATCATTCAAGTGTGAGGGGTCAAAATACTCATAGTAGTAGACATAGTCTTAGGGATGAGCTTAGAGAACTTAGGGAGTATATAAAAAGAAAAGAAGAAGAAAATGCAAAAAGAGAGGAAGAATATAAGAGAAAAGAGAGAGAAAATGAGAAAAACAATAAGGAAATAAAAGAGATGTTAGCAAAACTAGTCATGGGAGGGGGAGTTGGGGGATCCAACCCAAGGGTAAGCATCCCTAGAAGTGAAAGTGAGGGTAGTCAACACCCTACAAACCCCCTAAGTGATAGCCATTATAGTAGTCATCACAATGATGATTACTATCAAAGGCCACCAAGAACACAAAGACCAAGACCAAGGGAGTCTTCCAATAAGGAACCCAACATTACTCTTCCCTCATTTCATGGCAAAGACAATGTTGAAACATATTTAGATTGGGAAATGAAAGTTGAACAACTTTTTTCTTGCCATGGAATAAGTGAAGAGAAAAAGGTTTCTTTAGCAACCCTTAGCTTCCAAGGGCATGCTATGTATTGGTGGACCTCTTTAGAAAAAGAAAGAAGAATGCATCATGAACCCCCAATTCAATATTGGAATGAACTCCGTAGTGCCTTAAGGAGGAGGCATATTCCCCCATACTATGACCGTGAGCTTATGGATAAGCTTCAAAGGTTGAAACAAGGGTCATCTAGTGTGGAGGAGTATAGGCAACAAATGGAGTTACTTATGATGAGGGCGGGTATAAGGGAAGAAGAGAGGACTACCATTTCTAGATTTCAAAGTGGCCTAAATCTTGAAATAAGAGACAAAGTTGAACTCTTACCTTATAGAGATTTCAATGAGCTTGTTCAACTTTGTTCAAGAGTGGAGCATCAACTCAAAAGAAAATTTTTTAGAAAAGACTTCACTCCCTCTTATTCCAAGAACTTCAAGAAGGAGGGCCCCTCTTCCAAACCTTATTCCAAAGAAAAAGAGCAAGAAAAAGAAAAATCTTCTTTTAAAGCACCTTCCAAAGATGCTAAAACAAGTGACATCAAGTGTTTTAAGTGTCTTGGCCGTGGGCACATTGCTTCTCAATGCCCAACAAAGAAAACCATGATTTTAAGGGGCCAAGATCACTATAGTAGCCTTGATGAAGCTACTTCCTCATCTTCGAGTGATGAAGAAGAAGTTTTAGAGTCCGAGGAAGAAACTTACCCATGTGAAGGAGACTTATTAATGGTAAGAAGGCTTCTTGGGAACCAATCTAGTAATTTAGACCAATCCCAAAGAGAGAACTTGTTTCATACAAGATGCAAGGTTTTAGAAAATACTTGTTCTCTCATTGTGGATAGTGGGTCTAGTTGTAATTGTTGTAGTACTAGATTGGTTAACAAGTTAGCCTTGACTACTCTACCTCACCCTAAACCTTACAAGTTACAATGGATAAATGAGGAGGGAGGTATTGTGGTCAACCAACAAGTAAATGTACCTATCTCCATTGGCAAGTATAAAGATGAAATTTTATGTGATATAGTGCCATTGGATGCTAGTCACATTTTACTTGGAAGGCCTTGGCAATTTGACAAGAAAACTATTCATGAAGGCCTTTCTAATAAAATAAGTTTCCACCACTTGGGCAAGAAAATTGTGTTATGTCCTCTATCACCTTCCCAAGTGAGTGAGGACCAACTCAAAATGAAAGCCAAAAGAGAAGAGGATGAAAAAAAAATAAGAAAACAAAAGAAAGAAAAAAAAGGTCTCCCCTTAAAAGCTAAAGAAGGGGAAGAGAAGGTATCAAGTTTAGAGGCAAGTGTCCCCTCTAAAGAAGTTGCTCACAAAAGTCACTTATCCATTAAAAATGACATCAAAAAAACACTTTTGCTTGAGCAACCTTTATACCTCCTCTATTTCAAAGAGACACTAGCTGCCACTAGTCATGAACTTGAGTCTCTACCTCAAGAGGTTCAAAAACTTTTGAAAGAATTTGATGCCCTATTCCCTCAAGAAGTTCCAAGTGGGCTTCCACCTTTAAGAGGAATAGAACATCAAATAGACCTCATACCGGGGGCTAGTCTTCCTAATAGGCCCACCTATAGGACTAACCCTCAAGAGACCAAAGAGATAGAATCTCAAGTTGAGGACTTGTTGAAGAAGGGTTGGGTTCAAAAGAGCCTTAGCCCTTGTGCCGTTCCCGTTCTTTTGGTGCCTAAGAAAGATGGCAAGTGGAGGATGTGCACGGATTGTAGAGCCATCAATAACATCACCATAAAATATAGGCACCCAATCCCTAGGCTAGATGATATGTTGGATGAACTACATGGGGCAATCATATTCTCCAAAATTGATCTTAAGAGTGGTTATCATCAAATTAGAATCAAAGAGGGTGATGAATGGAAAACCGCTTTTAAAACCAAGTTTGGTTTGTATGAATGGTTAGTGATGCCTTTTGGTCTCACCAATGCCCCTAGCACTTTCATGCGTCTCATGAATCATGTACTTAGGGATTGCATAGGGAAATTTGTAGTTGTATATTTTGATGACATTTTAATTTTTAGCAAATCCTTAGGTGAGCATCTTGGGCATCTAAGGGAAGTGTTAATAATTCTTAGGGACAACCACCTCTATGCCAACTTAGAGAAATGCACCTTTTGTAAAGAAAATGTGAACTTTTTGGGCTTTATAGTTGGCAAAGAGGGAGTGCAAGTTGACCCCGAGAAAATAAAAGCCATCCAAGATTGGCCCACCCCAAAAAGTGTGGGAGATGTGAGGAGCTTCCATGGTTTAGCAAGCTTCTATAGAAGATTTGTCAAAGACTTCTCCACACTTGCATCCCCTCTTAATGAGCTTGTTAAGAAGGATGTCCCTTTCATTTGGGGTGAAGCCCAAGAAAAAGCTTTCAATGCTCTTAAGGAAAAGCTCACCAATGCACCCATTCTAGCCCTCCCAAACTTTGCTCAAACCTTTGAGCTAGAATGTGATGCATCCGGTTTTGGCATAGGTGCCGTGTTACTTCAAGGAGGCCACCCCATTGCTTACTTTAGTGAAAAACTTCATGGGGCCACCTTGAATTATCCCACCTATGACAAGGAGCTTTATGCCCTTATTAGAGCCCTCCAAGTATGGGAGCATTACTTAGTGACTAGAGAGTTTATCATACACACCGATCATGAGTCACTTAAGTACATTAGAGGGCAAGGGAAGTTGAACAAGAGACATGCCAAGTGGGTAGAATATCTTGAGCAATTTCCTTACATTATCAAATACAAGAAGGGAAAGAATAATGTAGTGGCGGATGCTTTATCTAGAAGACACTCATTACTCTTTTCCTTGGGCTCTCAAATTCTTGGATTTGATAATATAAAGGAGTTGTATGAGAAGGATCAAGATTTCCAATCCACCTTCACCAAATGCCTCGAAAAGCCTTTTGATGGGTTCTATCTTCTTGAGGGGTATCTTTTTAAAATGGGAAGACTTTGCATACCCCAAGGATCCATTAGAAAGCTTTTGATTAAAGAAAGTCATGAGGGAGGTCTCATGGGCCATTTTGGGGTTGATAAAACCCTAAGTCTTTTAAAATATAAATTCTATTGGCCACACATGAGAGTGGATGTTCAAAGGCATTGCTCCAAGTGTATCACTTGTCTTCAAGCAAAATCAAGAGTGATGCCTCATGGACTCTACACCTCTCTCCCTATAGCTAGCTCCCCTTGGGTTAACATTAGTATGGATTTTGTATTGGTCTCCCAAGGATCCAAAGGGGATTCGATTTACAATCGTTGATACACACCCGGGATCGGAGGTGCAAAGGAAGCACTAATTACAATTCACAAGACAAAATTAACAGAAGCAAGTACAAATTTGCGACAGTGGTGAAAGAAGCTTGTGTTAAGAGAAGGAGAAAACGACGGCGTTTAGCAAGGAAAAAAAATGAGTTGGGAGAAGAAGAGGGAAGAAGAAGAAGAGGAAGAAGCGTTGAAGACAGTGGAGCTGGAAAACGGTCTCCGCCTAGTCCCGCGCGTGAAGCTGAACCTGAGCGTATACCCTTCCACGCCCCACACTCTCACGCGCCCCATCGACGAGTGGAAGATGAAGCGCGCCCTAATCGACTTCCTCCGCTCCTCCCACTCCCTCACGCTCCCCGAGGACGACCTCCAGATCACGCGCCTCAACAAGCGCAAACGCCACCACGATTCCGACTCCGCCTCCGCCGTTGCCGCCGCCACGCTCCGCGTCTGGGACCTCCCCCCCGACCGCCGCAACCGCCTCGCCCAGGAAATGGACGGCATCGAGCTCAACCTCCAGGGCGCCAGGTTCCGCCTCGCCGCTTCCGTTCCCGCTTCCGACGATTTCGCCGCCATGAAGAAGGAGTGGGAGGAGCATTCCGCGTTTCGGAGCCGTCGCGAACCGGACACCGTTGTTCTCCGAGGTGTCCCCTCGCGCTGGTTCGCTGAGCCCAGGGTTTCTTCCAAACCCTCCATGCTCGTCACGCACACCATCTTCTCCACTTTCGGCAAAATAAGGTGCGCTCTCGATTTTTTCACGAGGAAACACACTCACGAAGAAACTGTTATGTTAGTATATGAAACTAAGAAATTCTCGAATAAGTACCTAGAATGTCAACAAGTCATGGTAGTAACTGAAACTAAAAAAAATTGTCATATAAGTCCTAGAATGATAGTTAAGTCCTTAAATTTAACTAAGGAATATATATCGATGTTTATCACTTTAGTCATGTATTTTATTTATTTATTTATTTTTAGTTTGAGACTAATGTGATTGTCAATTTGCATTGTCAGTAACTAATTTTTCAATTACTTACTTTAGGGATTAATATGATGGTGTCTTCCAAATTCAAGGACTAAAGTGGGTGTTTACTCTTTGTTTAGATGCCGTTTTTGCTGTGGAATATACTATAATACAAGTAATCTTCAAAGTGTTAGCAGAAATTATGCCAAGTAGTTTCCCAACTGGGTGTAATGGTCACGTACCTTGAGTGTGAAGTAATTTTATACTGTTAAAGAAGCAAAAATAACTATTAGTATGATTTAAGGAGTTATTGTAAATGTCAACAAATAGTTATACATGATAGTTTGTGATCAGATAATAGTGTTTAGTTTACACTTTACACTGCTGGTAGATAGATTATTTTCTCTTTCCAAATTTGGGAAATACTTCAAATTGGTTGTAAAATATGTCAACTTAGGGGCTAAAGTGATTGGTATTTTCTCCAAGAAGTGGTGCTGATGAGGATTCCTAGAAAAAAAAAAAAAAAAAGGATTCGAAAGAAAAGCATTCACCAAAGAAAAGCTAGCTAGTGAAGGTTATCTATTAGTCATTCCTGTTTCTTTTCATCGCAGTATTTCCATTTTTGAATTGGGATAGTGTTTTCTTGGCTGCTGTAAAATGCTACTACATGTAGGTTTTTTATCTTTTTGGTTTGCTTGAGACCTGTTGAAAATTAATTCGATTCTCCTCGTTGCATGTTGTGAGTGTAAATTCGGGTAGATTTGAGTTAGGCATAATGGTGATTCATGCTATGTATGTTTCCTGCATGTATGTGGTGTGGTGAATTGTTCTTAAGGTTCTTTAAATTTGAAAATTTTTAGTCAAGTGCTGACAAATAATGGTCAATGTTAGACAACTATATTACTGCAGATGATCTTAATTGTTCAGTACTTGTTGGATCAGCATAAGCTGACCTTCAAAAAGAAATCCTATGACATCAATAATCTTTTTCTGGATATGTTAGGGACCAGAAAAAGAACAATAGGAATAATGAAGTGCAAATCAGGGAATGTTTGTATGTATGATTCAATAACAGAAAGTAAATTCAGAAGCAAATCAATCCTGCTGCAACAGAGTGTAGCTCCTACAGAGAGGCTAATGCCCTCTGTCCATAACAGAAGTCACCATAATTCCCCAACTGCCTCTATCTCTCCTCAACATTCCCTATATATCCCAGTACCTGTCTCACTTATTTGGAAATTCAGTTTTATATGATGAAAATTGATATTAGTTCCTACATTTTAAAAATGGTGGTTTTGGTTTGGTTGGTCTTCATATTTCTGAAATGTGGTAGATTTTGTCATTAGTCCTGTGCTGCATTTTGACTTGACCGAGGCCGAAATCTACCACAATTAAGAATTATGAAGAACCAAACCACCTGTCTTTGAAATATAAGGACTGGAATCATTTTTAGTCAACTAAAATTGAGGGACATAAAACATGCATGTTACTTTCAGTAATCTGATTGTACTTAATTGTGTTGCTTCTTCAATAGGAATCTTAATGTTGCTGAGGATGATGATTTTGGCAAGGATGCGAATGAAGATAGTGGGGACCTAGTTTCTGGCCTTTACTGCAAGATTGTGGTTCAGTTTGAGAAATATAGAGACTTCCATGATGCATTGAGAGTTCTGTGTGGTCGCTCGTTGCAAAAGGTAATGGTTCACTTTTCAAGTTATTTTCCTTCCTTTATGGTGAAATCATGCATAACCATGGTGTATGAAGTGTTGTAGTAATGTTTCACAACCTTTTGTTCATTTGAGAAGTGTTTAGGTAATCAACTTAGTCAAAGAGTGCCTATACATAAGTTGTTTCTATAATAAAGGAGAAAACAGAGTTAAACTGTCTTATATAAGTTGTAAGCTACCTTCGTAAGTGGCTGCAACTCACATTGAATTCATGATCTTAGCTGATGAAAGAGGAAATAGGTTGACAACCACTTTTTAGGTAAGTGTTTATCATGTATCCACCTATATATAAGCAGTTTCTACAATCGAAGAGGAAATGATCTTAAATCTGTTTCTATATAATTGTGTAAGCCTTTTTTGTAAGTAGTGCAGTGAATTCGTGATTATAGCCATGGTTGTCAAACTTGCGAGTTAACTCGTAAACTCGTACGAGTCTACGAGTCTAGGGTAGCAAAACTGGTTAACTCGCGAACAGAATCGGTTTTTGATAGACTCGGGTGGACTCAGGTAGACTCGCTCAGAATCGCGAGTCTGAGGACGATTCCACGAGTCAATGTAGGTTAATTTTTTGCCCCCTAAATGCCCCAAAACGACGTCGTTTCAGCTAGGGATCCTAAGCACCTCTATTTTCTTCAATCTTTCTCCCTTCGCGCATACGAAAAGAACACTACCTTCTCTTTGTTCTTCGATCTCTCTCCCTCCGCTGAATAGGAAAAGAACACTTTGCCTCCTCTTTGTTCTTCGATCTCTCTCCCTCCGCCGCATACGAAAACAACACCGTCCGACTTCGTTCAATCCGCCCGGCGCCGTCGTTGCAGCTTCCGGTGTCGTCCCTACAATTTCTGACGAGGTGTTCATCATGTTTTCCTGCTCCCCACCAGTCACCGTCCGACTTCGTTCAATCCGCCCGGCGCCGTCGTTGCAGGTTCCGGTGTCGTCCCTGCAGTTTCCGACGAGGTGTTCGTCATGTTTTCCTGCTCCCCACCAGTCACCGTCTGACTTCGTTCTATCCAGCCAATGCTGTCCTTGTAGCTTCCGACGAGCTGTTTTTGATTGATAAATTTAGATCTTGTTTTATGTTTTTGACTTGTGGACTTATGTGTTTTGGCCTTTCGGTTGTTCATGTATAGTTAAGATTTGTATTATGACATTTTATTGTTGTTATTTGACTTATTTCAGACTTAGAATGTTGAATTAGTGATATCATATTGTGTCTGTTCATGATTTTTAATATTTTTTAATATTAGGTAGACTCGTACGATAGACTCGTACGAGTCTACGAGAGCTCCACGAGTTTGTGTAGACTCTCGAGTTTGACAACCTTGATTATAGTTGATGAAAACTGGGTAGCAATTGGAGTGAAGAATGTTTTTGCAAAATTGAATGGTTGATTATGATTGTGTCTGATAAATGATATCTTGATAATGGATGATTTATCAACAAGCAGGAAGGGTCACGATTGAAGGCTGATTATGAGGTTAGTTGGGATAAAGATGGATTTTTTCGGAATTCTAGGAATCAAATTCAAGAGAAGAATAACATGATATCCGCAAGGGCAGCAGATCATTATAGAAGTGATGCTCCCAGACGTCATCCCTACAACTCTCGCCACAGTCCAGAATATAATGCACGCCCCAGGAGATTTAAGGTTAGATTTTGATATCTCAAATTGTTCCAAGCATTTATTTAATTTTGAACTTTGGCTAACTAGTTTGAACGTCTCTAAGTCATGACAATTGACAAGTCTGCCAATATTGACTAGAAACTCCTTTACTTAATGCAGGAATAAGGACGGAAAGCTTTTTTAATTTTTGAAAACAAAATCGAAAGCATTTTAATTATGGACTGATCTCAAGTTTAGACTCGGAATGTTTTGGACAGCATACAATTTCTTGGGGTATTGACTAGGGTCAACTCAAGTTTATGACGCTGGATTATATTCGAAGATCAACCATACTGACAATTTAGACTTCATTGTTCCAAAATATGATGAGTGGTTAAAATACTGCTGTTTTACAGATCCATATTCTTATCCCAAATGTTCCAAATTCTGAAACTTTAGTATTCATTCTTATCCTTTCTTTTCCTTTGATGCTGTGGAAACAGTTTATCATTAGCAGACAGTACATACTCTGATTACCTCTTCTCAAAAGGAAATATTTACTGCCTACATTGTTTGACCAAAATTTAAGGGTGGCTGAATTGAGTTACTACCACTTGGATACGCAGTAAAATGATGTAAGAGAGAAGAATGGTATTTTTCATCATGTATTTTTTGGAACTTGTTAACATGTTATAAATATCATGCTAAAATATAATAGGTTTTTCAAATATGCATTGACTGTTCTTTCTCTACGCCTTACGGTGCAAGAACAATGGAATGGTTGGTATGGAAATATGGTTCTAATTCTACAGCACATTATCGGATGAGGAGAAAAACTTTTATTAGTACTAAGGCTGACCAGTCCGTGGGCGCAGTTGGTTAAGACTAACAAGTGCCGGAATGTTTACTGATTCAACAATGCAAGCTAAGGATGGGAATTTAAAATTTGTAAGCACAATAAATAGTGAGATGACAGGTTAGGGACTAATCCACCTGATAAGTGCCCGGATTGGAAGAGTTGTTTTTCCCTAACATTTCAAAGTTTAGGGGGAAAAAAAGGCTAATGAAATCGTCAGGAAAAGTCAAAAACGGGATCGTTTTCTTATGCGAAATTTTCACATGAATGATGAATGGATCACGAGATGATTAATGGAAAAACAGAAACATAGACAAAAGTACTCAGCAAATTTGACCTCGAGTGAGTGACCTTGGCACCTCTTAAATATTTTTGGAACATATTAAAACAAAAAAATTAGTACTATACAACCCCAAAGGTGTGCACAGACACGTATACACATATATATTAATATATATTTTCTATAGTAATAAGTTATCAAAATATTGTATAATAAGGAAAGTTAGACTTCAAAGAGATAAGAAAAAACAAAGGAAGTAACAAACATATGTTACTAAAGATGTATTAGAACATAAGAGATGAAAAAAATTGATAGCCTTCGTACACATGGTACAAATGACACACGCCGATGAAGGTGATTTACCGAGACACAATGGTGGCATTAGAAGCACAAATAAAAAGAGCAAATTGCATTGTGAGAAGGGATATAAGAAGAAAAGGTTTAAAAGAATGATAATAGATAATATGTTTTAGAATTTAGTTTTTCTATAATCAACTTCACCTAACCAAAAAAAGATTATTGATGTCATAGGATTTCTTTTTGAAGGTCAGCCTTATGCTGATCCAACAAGTAGATCATCTGCACTGATATAGTTGTCTAACTTTGACCATTTGTCATCACTTGATTTTTCAGTTTTCATATTTGAAGAACCTTGTGAACAATTCTCCACACCACACACATGGCATGAACGCCATTAAGCCTAACTAAATTCTACCGCAATTTACACTCACAACATGTAACGAGGAAAATTGAATTGAATTTTCAGTTTCAAGCAAATCAAAAGGATCAAAAATCTGCATGTATTCACATTTCACAGAAGCAAAGAAAACTCTATTGTCAATTCAAAAATGGAAATGCTATGATGAAAAGAAACAGGAAGACTAGCAGATAACCTGCACTAGCTAGTCTTTCTTTGGCGAATTCTTATCTTTTGCAAAAGGATCAAAAACCTACATGTATTCACATTTCACAGAAGCAAAGAAAACTCTTGTCAATTCAAAAATGGAAATACTACGATGAAAAGAATCAGGAAGACTAGCAGATAACCTGCACTAGCTAGTCTTTCTTTGGTGAATTCTTATCTTTTGAACCCTTCTTCTTCTTCTTGTTCTTGGAATCCTCAGAATCAGCACCACTTCTAGGAGAATCAGCACCACTTCTTGGAGAATCAGCACCGCTTCTTGGAGAACTTCTTGGAGAATTACGTAACCTATCAGCACCACTCTCCCCTCTAATACAATCCAAGAACTTCTTGCTCCCTGCACCCGCCACCATCTTCTTTTCACTCTCCCCTCTAACACAATCCAAGAACTTCTTGCCCCCTTCACTCACCACCATCTTCTTTTCACTCCACCATCTAACTAACTCTTTCTTAATCTTGTTCCCTTCACCCACCTCCATCTTCCTCTCACTCAACCTTCTCAAGAACTCCTTCTTCTTGCTCCCTTCACCCACCTCCATCTTCTCACTCATCCCTCTCACATACTCCTTCTTCTTGGCCCCTGCATTGCTCACAATCTTCTTTCCACCACTACTACTCGACCCTCTAACACGTTCCTCCTTATTCTTCATTGACTTCCTCAAGTTCTTCGGAGGAATAGTCCTGAACATGGAGATCATATACCACATAATACACGTGAAAAGAATTGTAACAGATCTACCAAACACCAACAAGAGCAACAAAATCATTATTATGACCAATGGCAAGTAGAAAGAAGGCATCCCCACGTCCCAAGGGTTCTTCATCTTCCAAGAAATGTTGATACTCTTAGCTACCTTTGTATGATGATGAATAGTGTCTATCTTGGTTTTCTTTCTTTCTTCAGAAGAGTTTTGATCATCGGCTGGTGAAGACTCTTCCAATGATATCTCTTCTGAAGTGTGATTAAACGTTCTTGCTCTCACCACTTTGAGTTCTTGGCTCTTGCGTTTCTGATTCTTGCTGTTCTTGACCTTGACCACTACGGGAACTATATCATCTGTGTGATTGTACACAAAGCGAACGAAAGAGATCTCATGAGGGTTCATTTGAGAATATATATACTGCCTCTTCACATCAAGATCGGCCAAAAGTGCTGAAAACTTATCAAGGCCACGTGCGGAATAAGGGTTATTGTTTCTGCTATATTTTCTTTTATATTTTCTGGGGCTAGAACCTGGACTTGCAAGACATGGTTCATCATAATAATCATCATGGAATGTGCCACAAACAAAAGGGTTCAGCGTATGCATGGGAAAAATGGTTACAAACAGAAGGGTTCAGCTTTGAGAAATTTTGTGAAGATGTGGTGCTTAAATTATGGGTTTAAACAGAGAAAGATAGAGATGACTAGACCAAAGTTTGGCCAAAAAGTCAACTCATATATATATAAAATAATTAAAGGCTTTAAACTTTTGAACTGATGATTTAATTATGGAAGCTTCTGAAGAGAAATTATTACTATATGTAGGGATCACAACCGACTGAGACGGTGTGGAAAAGATATACATTAATTTTATCTATATATCTTCATATATCTGCGGATCTTCATTGAAGATTGAACAGTTATTCATATATTTTTTCAATATTCGTAGATATTTATAAATATTTAAAAAATTATCTTAAAAATATTTAACAAAATATTTTAATCATATCTTTTAATTATTTATAACAAACTTTTTTCTTTTAAAAGTTATAACCTTTTTAAGATTACAACTAGAATTTAAATAAAATTTACATAAAAAAATTTAAAGATTATAAAATTAAATTTAAAAAATTCTTCACAATTATACTAATAATAATAAATTAATTTAAAAATTAAATTTTAAATACTCAATCATATAAATTTAAATTTCAAACAATAATTATTAAAATAAAATATTTTGATTACACATAAATCAAAATAAAAGATAATAAAGTATAATACTTACTAATTCTAATCAAAATTTAAATAAAATCAAATTTATACAATTTCAAATAGAATCAAATTCATACAAGTTCAAATAAAATTAAATTCATACAAATTCAAATAAATTAAATATTAGTGGACAAGGATACTATAATACCCATACTCTTCTTATTAACATGCGAGTATAAAAAATATTCATACCTATTATTTGTTGCTAGTATTCATTATAATATCTATTTTTATTTGTTATAGATTTTTTTATTCACATATATATGTGAATAAAATATTTTTTGACATCCACATATATATAAATATTGTAAATATTTGCCAAGATCATAAACTTTTAATCCCCCCGAATCATCTAATAATATGCATTTTTAAACTTTTTGAAAAAAATAATCATATTAATTTTAGAAGCTTCTGAAAGAGAAATTATTATTATACATCAAAGGAGAAATTATTATACACGTGTGTGTATGTAAATATTAGTGAAGATCATGAATACGCAATCGTTCTGAACAATCTAATGATATAATTTATCTAATTTTAAACTTTTAAGAAATGATATTAAATATAGAAATTTCTGAAAGAGAAATTATTATGCATATATTATATAAATATTATTCGAGATCATAGATATCTAATAATTTATTATTATAAGGGGCATTGTTGATTTTTGACTCGAGGGAAGAAACAATACCTTGTTTTTTAGTTTGGTCTTTCTTGACCATTTATACAATGTGAATCAATAGGAACAGATAGATCCTAGAGTGCCGTAGGAAATGAGCCAACGACTGTAAATTAGACTTTGGAGAATTAACTTGTTTCTTGCGGATAGGGTATGGAATTAGTCTTTCGTTCATGAAACAAGTTCCAAAATTAATGCCGTCAATATTTCAAATAAATATATATACTTTAAATAGATATATATCAATAATATGTAGTATTCTAGAAGGAATATGATTTGAATATGAAACATGAAAAATGACAATAAATGTAGTTGTCAATGAAAAACCAATGGGGCTGGTGGTCTTATGTCATTGTCAAAATTCATATATATTATTCTTGATGTAGCCATGAATTGGTTGGGTTTGAAATTTTAGATTGTATTAATATTTTTTTATTAATGGAATTAGTTTCATAATGCCAGAGTTTAGATTGATTTTATATGTTTAAGTCGATTACCAATAAGAGCATGCCAATGAAATGGGAGTGAAAATAGATTAGATGATCAGCTTAGGTTCTGCTAGCATGAGCTTAATCTGAATTAAAAATATAAAATATAAGTCTGGTTTACTTAACTATATATCACATGCTTCTTTTTTATTTTTTTATTTTTTATTTTAAGATTTGTCCTCACTTATATAAAAATTTATCCTGCCCTAAATAGGTTGTTTAAGGGCATACTTATAACAATATATAACAACCTAAAAAATAATATATATATATATATATATATATAATATATGTGGTTTTATAAATATTGAGTCTAATTTTTATATATAATAATATGTATAAGTATATTTTTAAGGTCTAATATAATATTGATGATGATAACTTATTTTAAAATATATTTGTCACCAGTAAAAAAAAAGAAATTATCTTTCAATAAATTTGTAAATTTCACACTTTAAGACGCTTAACATTTTTTTTTAAAGAAAAACATACTTAACATTTTAAAAGATAAACAAACGTATAGGTTTA